AAATAGTTCAATGGGAATGCAAAATCAATCAGGAAAAATTAAAAAATACTAAACTAATTATCTTGAAGCGAAATAAAAAAAAATAAGGTTCATCATCTATCCAATACAATGAAAAACTTAACCTAACATTCTTATAATTAAATTACATAGGAATAATTGGAAAAACATCTCCTAGAAATAATAAATATGGAAGAATTAGGATTAATCCACGTTCTTGGCGCAAATCTTGAAATTGGACTATAAATTTTCAAAATCCTTGTATGATTCGTCTTGAATTGATGTATAGACTTGTTCTTCGCTTCCAAAATATGTAGAATATGATAAAATTTAGGTTCAATGGAGGTCTCCGATATGGATTTTGCTGTTAGGTATTTATAGGATTAGAAAATTGGTTGAAAATTTGATTGAAGCGATTCGAACTGCGTTGGAAAGCTAACTCAAAGAGTTACAACTTTGCTAGAATTTTTCCAATTCAGAAGTTTACTATGCCAAAATGGGTCTCAATATTTGACTAAAAATTTGGAATATAACCTTTGCGATTGGAAATTGATTTTGATAATATTTTGGTCATATTTCATTCATTTTTGAGTTCTAATCCCATCCAATCGTCTCCTAGCAATCTTCAAAGTAACATCTTGTGGTCCGAATCAATTATTGAATGTTTACAATTCAATCCTCAAACTTTATATTTGATACAATTGAGTCATTTTCTGCTATCTTTGCATATTTTTCTCCAATTTTTCATCAAATATTGAGTTTTACCTACAATATGAAATATAACACAAGTTAGATAGTATTTTATCCAAAAAATAGAAAATATCATCATTTAGGACATCAAATAATTGTGGAAACTACACTTATCACATACCCCAAGCATTTTTTTTTTGTTTACCTTTAATCGGGTTTGCATGCCCCATACATTTTTTATTTTCGTACATAGTTTATTTGTCGAGGCCTGCCTGCGAGCTTAAATTGTTTTTAGAAGATAGGAAAGTTCATATAGAGTAACGGTTAGGATTACCCAACAATTTTTTGAGAAAGAGTTAACCTTAAAAGTTGTTCCCATGAGCATGCATGCACCTAAAGTCGTGCTCACGAGTATGCACTCTCCAAGATCTTCCCCGACCACATAAACCTGAACTACTCTATATCGACATTCATGTGCCCTAGTTATTCGAGCTACATCTAGAGGATAGTACTTGAGCTATAATTGTTAGAACTTAAAGGACTGAGCTCTAACAATCAAATAACAAACAACTCAAGTAGCTTGTCTACTTTGTTATTGACAAGTAGTTAGCTCAAGCTACAACTATTAGAGCTTAAAGGATTGAGTGAACTATTGTTGTGTCTACTTTGTTATTTACAAGTAGTTATTCACCCCCCCTCCTCATGAAGCTTAACCTCTGTGGAATATTTGGCAACGATGCTCGATATCAAGGAATAGTTTTCTTGCCCTCCTTGTACAACATCGTCCTCCAAATCCACGATCTTAGGAGTTCCCTAAGGCATTGATGCTCGAACACGCTGGGAAGGAGGATTACTGCTCGGGCTAAACCTGTACGTTTGCCCGCATCTCGAGGGATGGTAACTGTAGGTGCATCCCTCATCCTTTTCTTTCCCTTGCCCTTAGTCCGGGCAATAGGACGAGGTTGATTTCCCTAGGACTTCCTCAAAATCGAGGCCCAAAGATTAGCTGGATTGAAATTCATTTCAACTTCTACAAAATTCAACTAGTCATTAGCTCAATCTATAGCTCGAGAAAAACAAGTACTTTCAAGAAAAAGGAAATAACAGCAAAAGGCCCTACCCTCGATTCTTCTTACATTCGCAAGGTCGAGGATATCATCATCGAGAATTTGCTCGAGCTTATACACCAACGAATCATAATTCTCTAAATTCACTTTGTCATTTTCTAAAACCTCAAAATAGGCTTGACCCTCATCGAATAGATCAGTGTCTGGGACGTTTCATCTAGAGCTAAAATGGTGGTCGGGGTCCTAAGGTTTGACAAAAAAGAAACTTTGTTTCCAACCCTGAAAAGTGCTCGACATTATGGGTGCCCTAAAACCTCTTCGGGATGACAGGTATACAAAACAGTTATAGCCCGAGGCCATTTTGAGTTCGTATACCATCTTAAAGAGGTCAATCCTAGGCCTAATCCCTAAATATTTGCACACAATAAAATAATATATTATCACCATCCATGTATTAGGCCAACTGACCCGGGCACATATAAAATGTGACCAAAAACATAATAAAGAACAAATGAAGGGGCCACCTCATATCTCCCTTGAGGAAATCCCTGAAAAAGGTCATCTTTCCCTCCCGAGCATCAACCACTCAGTCCCTAGGCCTGGTGGCCCTAATGTCACACCTTGGCATTACCACTTACTTCCTAGCTACCTTAATAATTTTATGGTCTTTATAAATGGTATGTAGCTTGGGGAAAGCGAGAATCACTTCTTCCCGAGGATGAGCTATAATAGGCTCGACCATGGGGATAAGGGATGACACTAAACCCTCTTGAATGCTCGAGCTTGATCCCTCTGAGGAATCGTTCCACTCTCGCTATCGCTCGACATTTGATTAATAAAATTAGATATCTTAAAGTAATGAGCACTTACCTTAAAGATTGATTGCCTACTGACCCACTAAAAGCCCGAGCTCGAATTTATTTTTTTTATAGAGAAAATGTAAAAAGTGAAAAAATGAAGGTGAAAATGGGGTATTTATGAGCTAAAGTGGAAGACCAAAGGTTATCAAATCTGAACCCTTGGCCTCGAGCCATGTGGCATTCATCCCATGACCTAGACCCATCTTTACACGTGGCATCCATGTGTCATGCATGCATCTGTACACCATGATAAAAAACAACGATCAGGCTCGAGCTGCTTAAACTTCTTTGCACCTCATCTCCCAAGCCCGTCCATTCATTAGCAAGCTGCGATCTATGATGTGCATGAAAAACGTAGCTCGATCCCGAGTCTTCACAAACTAGCCTAAACCATTTACATCGAGCAATCACTCCCCCTAAATTCCTCGTAGACCGGTCGAGCCTTATCCTACTAGTCGGGTCTAGGTATGGTTCGGCTAAACATTGGCGATGCTTCTCTTCATGCCCTTATCTCGTGCCTTTTTGAAGCTTTAGTCCTTCCATAACTAGAACTCTCTACATTAATCCTTATCCAAATATCCAATATCTTGCTGTCCAAATCAAACTTAAAGAGGTAATTTCAATACAGCTCAATCATTTTGTGAGATAAGGATAGGGATTCCAGATGGTTTAATATTTTTAGGATTCAACCACCAACCTCTATAAATACAGAATTAAGATTCATTATTCAGATACATTTACATAATTTTCAGTCCATAGCTTTACGCATATTTTCTCTCTCTAATTTAAGAGCTTGTTTGGGAAAGATTTTTGGGGGAAGAATTGATTTTGAATAGTGATATGATGGGAAATGTGTGGTTGAAAAAGAAGAACAAATTATTAATGTGATGGAAAATATTATTTTATTAAAGAATGTGTGGTTGAAAATGAGAATTGATTTACTATAGAAAAATTTAATTCCTCCCAAACAGGGCCTAAGTATCGAAAGTTCAATTCAATCTACTTCCCGTCAACAACAGAAATCTTGTTTGTACTCATTCCTTATCCCCGAGCTTGAGATAATACTAGTGCGGATTTTTGTAGCATTAGGACCCATTGTTGTCAGAGCAGTTATTGGAGTACAGGAGCCATTTCACAGGCTCCTGCCAGGTGAGACACATAGGGGGGAGAGCCAAATTTTTTTTAAAAATACATTGGGTGGGGTCCGCCGCTACAATGAGGGGCCCGTAAGGCC